ATTGTCTTCTTCAATTCTTCCAAAAAAACCTTTGTGTTAACTATGGTTTCGTAATTCTCTCGGTCAGCATAAGCCAATAATTGATAAAGTTGGTTTGAATCTTCCAATAAAATTTTTCTAACTTTCTCTCTTCTCTCTTTCAACAACACCAGGTCCGGAGGAGAATTAGGATTATAGTAGCCATTGGCGATACAATGCTCTTTCATTCGAGCAAAAACTTTTTCTTCTCATTGCTGAAAAGTCAAACCATCAAGGGCACTAAAAGGAACGTTATTCTTTAAACCCACTGTTTCTAAAAAAAGCATAGCGGCCAGAGTAGCTTGAATAAGCCCACGACCGGTGTAAAAAGATGTTGCGACCCCCATTTTGATAAATATCTCCTCCTCAGTTTTGTCAGCAAAGGAGAGACCGCTAGAACTTCTCAGTAATTCTCGGTAAATTGTTTCTAATTGTTGGCTTCATTTTTGAAATTCAGTTTTAGTTATTTTTAGATTCATATTGCTATATATATATATATATATACGATTTTACTTGTTATATTAATTCATTATCCTTAATGGGTCCCGGCCTTACCATGCTCTCCAGATTTTCGAGTTGGGGAAAATTGGCCTCATTTTTTGCCTACCATATTTTGGGTAACTTGGCGTTTAAAAAACGTTTTGCCATTATGAATAAGGGCAATTTGACCTATCGCCTCTGGTGGAATTACTGAACCTCTATCTCAAATTTTAAAGGTCTTTGTTTTTCCTTCTTGATTGGCTTGTTGGAATTTTTTTAGTAACTTTTCGTTAACGTTTAAAGGTTTTTTTAAAGAACGTGGCATATATTAACTTATTTTTGGCGACGACGAACAATAAAATTAGTGGAAGGTTTTCTCTTTTTACGGGTTTTTCGCCCTAGTGTCCTTCAACCTCAGGGACTACGTGGTGCATCATGACCAATAGGCTGCTTTTCTTTACCCCCATGAGGATGGTCGCAAGGATTCATGGCTGAGCCGCGTGTCGTAGGCCTAATGCCCTTTCAACGGCCCCGTCCGGCTTTGCCTAAACGGA